CCTGTCCTCCTGGGCTCAGGCGATCCTTCCTCCTCAGCCTCCAGAGTAGCTGGCACTACAAGGCTTGCGCCATCACACCTGGCTAATTTTTGTGGTTTTCAAGCTCCTCCTTTCATGTAACAGAATTTGAGATGCTATCTTACCCCTCGCTGCTGTCCAGGCTTCTGTGTTAGCAGAAATACCTTCTGATCCAGCTTTTTCTTAGATGCCTCTCCTGTGGTTCCTTCCCAAGGCCCTGCTTTTGGTAGTCATTATAATAATAGCTAATATTTATTGTGTACCTCCATATGCTAAAGGCATATCTTTTAATACTTGTCACAGCAATTCTGTGAGGTAAATTCTGTTTATAATCTAAAGAAAAAAAGCTTTTTAGGCTAGGCATGGTGGCTCACACTTGTAATCCTAGCACTTGGGAGGCCGAGGCAAAAGGATTGCTTGAACCTGGGAGTTTGAGACCAGCCTGGGCAACACAGTGAGACCTCCTCTCTACAAGAAAAAATAATTACCAGTGTGTGGTGGTGTGCACCTGTAGTTCCAACTATTCAGGAGGCTGAGGTTGAAGGATTTCATGAATCTAGGAGTTTGAGGCTGCAGTGAGCTGTGGTAGTGCCACTGCACTCCAACTTGGGAGACAGAGTGAGACTTAGTTAAAACAAAAGACTTTTAAAAGAGCAACTTCAGGTTCACAGCAAAATTGAGAGAGTTATAGAGATATCCCACATATACTGCTGTTTTCTTTTAGTTGTAAAAATTACCAAACGTTCACAAATGGACTTCTAGAAACCTAGCTCTCAGGTTCAGGACTTAGCACTAATTGACCCATTCTTGCTTCAGCTCCATCCTATCCTTGTTTCTTTTGGAGGCTCACTCTGTCGTCCAGGCTGAAGTGCATTGGCACGTTCACGGCCATCGTAGCCTCAACCCACTGGGCTCAGGCTATCCTTCCGCCTCAGCCTTCCAAGTAGTTGGAATTACAGGCATGCACCACCACACCTATTGTAGAGGTGAAGTCTCACCAAATTGCCCAGGCTGGTCTCGAACCCGTGGGTTTAGGCAATCCTCTCGCCCCAGCCTCCCAAAGGGAATGTACGTGTGAGCCCCCGCTTCTGGCCCATCCTATCCTTGTTAATTGTGGAAAGAAGTGAACTGACTCACTCAGGTCCACGTAGCTAGTAGGGCTGGACTCCAGAGTTGGGTCCTTTTAGTTTCCGTGCTTGATAGCTGACAGTACCAGGTAATTCCCCCAGAGGGTGTTTTATTTGCTGCCATTTGTACCACCCCTACTGTGTGCAGCTAATCCCTACATTCAGCCTGCTGAGTAGATAGTAACTTGGAAGAAACTCAGAGTTAGGTCACTAGCCCTTGCGCTGCTTGCTGATGTAGTCTGGGTTAGGATTAGGGTTAGGGTTAGGGTTGTGGTCAGGGTTGGGGGTTAGGGTTAGAATTAGGGTCAGAGTTAGGGTAGAAATTGGAAGGGCAGACAGATGATGCATTTTAGATTTACATTGTGCCCTTGATTCTCGTCTGACTTGGCCAGGAATCTCTTCCTAAGGAAGACACTTAGAATGTGTCAGGATCTAATCTTTAGGGCTCTCCCCGCCCCACCCTCTTTCTGCCCTCCTCATTCCCAGTGCGATAGGAGTCAGTGGTTGGTTGTTTGGCTGTGGGAGCCTCTGTTTGTTAAGCCTTGGAAGGACCCGGGGACTCAGGGTCGTTTCTTGGAGTGAAAAGCATCTGGGTCTGTTGACTGTGCCTGTGATAGGACCCATCCTTGGCTTTAGGCCAGAGCATAGAGAGTGAGAGACCCCCTTCATTGAGGGCCATGTCTGTGAACCTGCAACCTGGAACCTGATGTTCTGTCCTCAACTGGGAGGCTGGGGTTCAGGAAGACATAGACTGTAGACACCCCCTGCTGGGCAGTGGGGATAGGAGGATTTGGTGGGAAGCTGGCTTGAGCGCAGCAAGCCCTTGGTCATGGTGGCTGGTTCGTAAAGAAGCATTTTCTTCCATACGCCAAGGTGGATGGCGGTACAGGTGCGAGTTGGTGGAATTTACTGGGTTTTTATTGGTTTTTTAATTCAGATTGAAGGACATGAAATCACAGTCTTCAGCTGAATAATTGGAATTTTCTGCCCAGTCTATTGCTCTTTTTTGGGTAACATTAGTGGCAGTTTGGGGGGCTAGTTCAAGGTTAAGGAGAGAGTTTATCAGGGCAGACAGAATGATACATTTTTTATATTCATGTCATCATGCCCATTGTGCACCTCTGGCACTGGCCAGGAATCTCTTCCTAAGAAAGACACTTAGAAAGTAAACAGTTTGTTAATTATTGCAACGCGTGTACTTTGGTTGCAAGGTGCACTTTGATCAAAGGTCACAAACCCAGATGTTTGAGAGGGCAGTTGGGAACAAAAATGAATGGAATGGACCCAATGATGAAAAGTCATACCTCCTCTCTGTCTTTTGTATGCTTGTGTTTGATAGAGAACACCAATAGTGAGGGGGCCACGTTACTTGGCAACTGGTGTTGGGGGTCACAGTACTAGGGAGTGGCTGTGAACCCCAAGCACTTACCCCATGGAAAGAAGGTGCTGGCGCTCAGATCCTGTTGGTGTCTTTAACGTGGCCAGGCAATACAGCCAGACCTCCTTTTTTGTTTTGAGAAGCCAAGATTGGGATTAAAAAAAAATGCTGTCTCCTCAATTTGTATTTATTTATTTATTTAGAGTCAGAATCTCACTCTGTTGCCCAGGCTGGAGTGCAGTGGCACGATTAGGGCTCACCACAGCCTCCACCTCCTGGGCTTAGGCGATCCTCCTGCCTCAGACTCCTGAGTAGCTGGGACTACAGGTGTGTGCCGCCATGCCTGACTAACCTAATTTGTAAACACTTGCCCAAGGTTTAAGGAACACCTTGGGTCAAGCAAAACACAACAGTGGGCTAGATTCAGAGAGTGGAGCCCCAATTTAAGACCTCCCTCCGCCAGGTTTATCAAACGATGTGGAGGAAGAGTTGAAACAGTGACCTGGGGTTGCCAAATTTTTTTTTTAGTTGGAGTCTTACTCAGTCACCCAGACTGGAGTACAGTGGCACACTCGTGGCCACTGCAGCCTCGACCTGCTGTGCTCCGGCGATCCTTCCACCTCAGCCTTCCAAGTAGCCAGAACTACAGGCGTGCGTGACCACACCCAGCTAGTTTTTGATTTATTGTAGAGATGAGGTCTCACCAAGTTGCCTGGGTGGGTCTCGAACCCACGGGCTCAGGCAATCCACTCACCTCGGCCTCCCAAAGCACTGGGATTACAGGCTGAGCCACTGAGCCCGGCCTGAGCCACTGAGCCCGGCCATGGTTGCCAATTCTTAGCCTCTCTTCGGGTGAGGAGATGAGCACTGCCAAGGAGTCTGGGGATTTAGGATTCAGTCTCAGATCTAGGTGATCTGGGATGCACTTTCTGACCCCATTCAAAGGTCACTTAGATCACTAGTTTTCAAACCGTGACTATGTTCCTTGAGATGTGTCGGGGGGGGGTACCATAAATGTTTGCTTCGGATTTTATGAAAAACAATACCTCCTACCAAATTTTAGTGTAGTTGAAATGTTAATGAAAAATCATTTGTCCAGATACCAATTACACCAAATTTTAAATCGTGGGAGACCACCAGCATCTTAACTTGGTTATATACTGATTACATTCAAAATAAGAACAAAGTAAATTGAACTTTGAAAAAACCTGCTTTTATCCAGGTGTATGTACAATTTACACATATACAGATATGTAGGAAATGTGGAACTCTGTACATGTGTATAGTTCTTCATAAGATTCTTTTTGATAAAATAGTTCTGCTGCTAAAAATACCCATGGAAACTTCTGGCCTGGGATTTCCAAGGCCACCCTCAGTTCTGCATCTCAGAGTTCACACAGCCTCACCAAAATAGCCCCTCTGGCTATTTATTTATTTATTTAATCTTCTTTTTTATTTTTATTTTTATTTTTGAATTGGAGTCTCACTCTGTTGCCCAGACTGGAGTGCAGTGGCCGCTTCCGGCCACCGCAGCCTCGACCTGCTGGGCTCCGGTGATCCTTCCGCCTCAAGCCTTCCAAGTAACTGGAATTACAGGCATGTGCTACCACGCCCGGCTGATTTTTTGATTTATTGTAGAGATGAGGTCTCGCTGCCCAGGCGGGTCTCGAACCCGTGGGCTCAGGCAATCCACTCACCTCAGCCTCCCAAAGGCGTGGGATTACAGGCTGAGCCACCGAGCCCGGCTTATTTTTATTTTTTTAGTCGGAGTCTCACTGTCACCCAAGCTGGAGTGCAGTGACATGTTCACGGCTACCACAGCCTCGACCTGCTGGACTCAGGCGATCCTTCCGCCTCAGCCTTCTGAGCAGCTGGAACTACAGGCACATGTCACCATGCCCAGCTAATTTTTTGATATATTATAGAGATGAGGTCTTGCCAAGTTGCCCAGGCTGGTCTCAAACCCGTGGACTCAGGCAATCCTCTCACCTCAGCCTCCCAAAGTGCTGGGATTATAGGCATGAGTCACCGCACCCACCTATGTATTTATTAATCTTGTGTCATCATCTTACTCTGTGGTCTAGGCTGAAGTGCAGTAGCACGTTCACGGCTCATTGCAGCCTCAACCTCCTGGGCTCAGGTGATCCTTCCACCTCAGCCTCCAGAGTAGCTGGACCTACAGGTGCACCACCATGCCCTGGCAATTTTTTTGATGTCTTTTTTGTAGAGATGAGGTCTTGCTGTATTGCAGGCTGGTCTCGAATTCCTGGGCTCAAGTGATTCTCCTGCCTTGGCCTCCCAAAGTGCTGGAATTTCAGGCGTGAGCCACCACGCCCAGCCTGGTTCTTTTTTCCTCGGTGCCTTTGGAAGAGTCCATCATGCCTCCAACTACCCCAAGCGGGGAGATGAGCCAGGGGTCTTTGTAGGGTTGTTGGTCTCCTCCCTTCTGTCAAAACCTCACCTGATGATTTGGGGACATGGATTCATGGGTGATGCCGACCCTTCTCCCCAGTTCCTTGATGACAGTAAGTTCAGAGAGTCGTTTATTTCCAAATGAGGCAGAGGATAACAGCCCGTTCTGTCTTGCTTTGCCTGATGCCTTGTGCTGTGGGTGTTGTTCACCATGCTGCCTGCTGGCTCTGCTGTCTTTGGGACTCTATGGTGGGAACAGTCGCCAGGCACTCAGGCCATCCCGTGAAGCCCCGCCTGCCTTCTGGGAAGTTGTCTGTGGAAGTTGTCTACAGTGACGTTTGTTGCCAGGCTTCTGGGGCTCAGAGGGACACTGATGACACTCAGCCTGTCATTTTCATGATCAATGATTTACCTTTCAGGAACCGGTTTTCTGGGGAACTTCTGGGTCATTTTCACAAGGGAGATACATGAGAGCTGGGAAGAATGATGGCCTTTGAGTTGAAATCTGTGCTGCTCCAAATCCCATAAAATGCGATTTGATTTTTAACATTGCTTGAAGCGGTTCACATTTTGGTTAATTACGTCAGTGGATAAAAATAACTATTGTCATATGGTGTGTGGGCTTGGTTTTAGAAGGATAAAGAGTCTATTGTTACCCATTGTGCTATTCAGTCATTTATTACCCATCCCTAAAAATGCCATGTGGTTAATAGGAAACCTGAAGCTTTGTCACTTGCTAAAATCCAGACTGCTTTATGAATTTACCCCCAAACACTGCTCCTTTTGAGAATGTGCAAAAGCTACCTTGACTTAGTCAGTTCAAATGGGTTGATGGGGGCCTGTCTCCGAGGCCCAGGACAGGCAGGGGTTTGTGACCTGCAGCCCTGGAATACCGTAGGGTTGAGACTGGACTGGCAATGAACCAGTTCAGTGCTTCCTTGGAGTGGTTAAGGTCAAGGGTTTCGGGGTCAGGCTGACCTGGGCCAGGATCTTACTGGCAGTAAGACGTGGGGTCAGGAACTTAGCTTTTCCAAGGCTCAGTGCCTACATTTGTAAAAGGGCGATTAACACAGTTCCTGCCTGCTGGGATCATTATAAGACTTGAATGAGATGATGAATACACTGTCTGCAGCACAGCGATCGGCCGGTGGTTAAGGGCTCAATCGATATTGTCATAAGTAGGATGGACCAGTATTGAATTCCTGTGTGGGGTCACTTTTTAGGCCGTGTATTTGATCACTTTTCCCCTGCGTATGACCCTTAAGCCATGGGTGGGTGGGGGGTGAGACTAAAGAAAAGACGAGAGACAAAGCCAGGAAAGATGTGAAGCCCTGTGAGGCAGTGTGTTTGCGGCCTGGCCGCTGTTTCACCGTGAGCCTCGAAAAGATGTGGGCTGGTGTGTTTTCATGACATCAGGGCCTTTGTGAGGGTTGCGGGGAGAAGCCTTACCCATGTCTATCAGAGAGCCCTCCGACTCTGCTTTCTGGATTTTTGGAGTATAGAGGGGAGAAAGGAGCGTGCTGAGACGATCTTTTGAAGTTTTAATTTTTCAGTCTTCCCTAAATCCTAGTACATTTCTCTCCACCTGCTTTATATTCAAAAGTGGCGTAGCTAGGGGGTAAGCTCGTGGACTCTGAAGTTCGGCTGCCTGGGTTTAAATCCAGGCACTGCAGCTCATTTGTGACCGGTGCCCGTCTCTCAGGGTTGTTCAAGGATTAAGCATGTTAATATTTAAAAGGACGTAGAACAGTGCCCCGCAGAGTTGGTGTCCTGTGTTTATTTGATCAAATGCACTGAGAACACAGGCTCAGAGCTGTGATTGTCATTTCCCAGGAACTTGCCTTTTTCTCCAAGATGACTTTTTCCCCAGAGATAACTTTTGTCTCTAGAACTCCTAAGCTCAGCTGGGCTTGGTGGCTCAGCCTATAATCCCGCACTTTGAGAGGCTGAGGTGAGTGGATTGCCTGAGCCCGCGGGTTCGAGACCCGCCTGGGCAACTTGGCGAGCCCTCATCTCTACAATAAATCAAAAAATTAGCTGGGTGTGGTAGCGCGTGCCTGTAGTTCCAGCTACTGAGGCAGAAGGATCGCCGGAGCCCAGCAGGTGGAGGCTGTGGTGACCAGGAGTGGCCACTGCACTCCAGTCTGGGTGACAGAGTGAGACTCCAACTCAAAAAAAAAAAAAGAACTCCCAAGCTCTTGTATCATCAGCCTCCGAATGCCTTATTAAGCCTATGCCTGTGAGGGACACAGATTGAAATGTGCAGACTTCATGAACACCCTCTTCTGACTTCCCTTGCCAATGGCACCTACCCTGGGGCACCATGCGCGTGTCCCCCTGTGGCTTAGTTCACCACCATCCTCCTCCCCAGTGGCGGTTGGCTGTCAGCTTTCGCTCTGGCACTTTAGCCGTGGACTTGGCCCACGCACGTGCTGAATTTCTGCCTTAACTGACGTCTTGACAGACAGGTCTTATTTCCCTTATTCTCCTCTAAACAGCTTGAGGTCAGGTTCTCGATCGTTCACATTTTTAGGTGCTGCTCAGTTGGACGAATGAGTGGTTTCTAGTTGACACAATACACAGCAGTGCATGCTAAGGGATAACACCACTAAGACCTGCCAGCCTCCAGTCTTGAGTTTAGACAGTAGTGTTTCCAGCCACGGGGTAAAAAAAAAAATTTTGCTGCCCCATGTGACTTGCCTGGTCATGGACTCCTTTTTTAGCTCCCTTCCTGGTGTGAACCCTCAGAGGCTAGGTGGACTGGGGCTTGCCATAGGTCAAAGGGCAAGGGCGCCAGAGATGATAAGGGGGAGGTGGGAATGGAAAGTTGGGAGTGGGAGGACCTTGGGGCAAGACTTTCTCCTTGCTGGGCTCATTCTTTCCTTTCAGTGGCATTTACTGAGTGCCTACTGTGCGCATCATTCTGGGCACCGGGCACAGTCAAGGTCTCTTTTCCTGTGGAGCTTACTTTGTGTTTGGAAAAGACAGTGACGGACAGAGAGTGAGGGGTGTGTGTGTCCGTGGCTGCCTGGACGAGGTGGTGTTCTTGACCGGGCCGTGGGGAGGTCTGGGCAGGGACCCTTGGAGGAGGGAATAAATATGTCAAGGCTGTAGCTGGAAATCAGCTTAGAGAGCATGAGGGGACAGTGAGACCCGGGTGGCCACAGGGACTGTGGCGAAGAGTTTGCATGTGATTCTAAGTGGGATGGGAAGTCGGAGGACATTTTCCCCACAAGCTCCTTTTTTGTTATTTTCTTCTTCATGAGGATCATACTTAGCCAGAAAGATGTGTTCATGGAACAATAGAATGTACAACCTTGAATTACCTTAGGCTTTTAAGGTACAGAGAACTAATTTAGGGATGACAGGGAACATCCCGAGGACCCCTGCCCAGATCGGAAAGTTGCAGATTGAGAGCCTGTCAGCGAAATCTTTAAGGTCTCTTCTGTTTCAAATGCTTATTCAACCCAAAGCTGCTTGCCATATGATAAAAAAAAAAAAAATCACTGCCACCTACTGCTGGAAGGAAGAAGATGGATTTTTGTATATTGAAAATCCTGAGCCCAGTGGACGTCTTCTGCCGCTTATCTGACTTTCCACCCGGTGTGATGGCCTGGAAGTGGCCCCGGGGAAGGGAGTGCTAGTCTTGGTTCTCTTTCTTTTCACTCCAACGACCATGACTCTGCTTGTGTCCTTCTGCCTCAACTCGTCGTGCCAAAGGGAGGTGGTGGCTGCCCCCATGCGGGGGAGGGGGGTCTATGGGAGAAACAGCTGTGGCCTCCTGTGACCAAGTTCATCCTTTGACTGTAATTGACCCCTCCGTGTGTTTATTTTGTCCCCAGACATCCTAACCCTGGCCAGCAGCCCTTGGCTTAATGGACTTCTTAGCACCACACCCCCACTATTAAATCATCAATGGATTAATTTCTGATTTGCATTTCCGTGGCTGAATGACTCTGATTTCCATGTTCTTTTTCTGTTACAGACCGTGAGCGCCACTGACTGTGAGTACCACGCTCCTTCCATTCCTGTGCTGTTCGCTACTGCCCCCTAATGGACCCAGCAACATTAACAGCAGTGTGAAAAATCACAGAAAATGCGATTTGTTAACACCTGCTTGGTTTCCTATTTTTCTTTAGAAGTGGGGTGAGAGTGGAAACAGTAAACAAAAGAAGAAATTCATATCATTGCGTAACCCTGAAAAATATAAAAAATTACGTTTTCTGTGATTTTTTTTTCCAATCTACACCCATGGGTGATTTAACTTAGTTGAAACTGTGATACGGTGTTTTTAAATATATTTTATCTGCTGTCATCCCATAAGCATTTTCTTGTGCTGCTACCTTGCCCATTTGCTACTTTAAAAAATGGTGTACACGGTTTGTATAACCTTTGGAAATGAGAGGTAGTCTCCTGTGTGTTTTGTGTCACATAAAAGGCTGAGACCCAGGTGTAGACTAGGGCTGGCCCATTCCCTGGTTTAGTAAAAGGAAGTAAGAAGGATATGACAGGAAATGTTTAAGAAAGCTAAATATATTTAGTTGAAAGCATTATATATTTTAAGAAAGCTAAATATATTTAGTTGAAAGCATAATCCCATCCTGGGATTATGACCTTACTAATTTTTTTGTTATAAAACGCTTATATAATAAAGACAACAGTATTTGTCTTTAACAATATTTAAATCATGTATTTTGGGAAAAATAAAAACTGGTGGAAAAAGGAAAAACATTTGTCAGCTGGGTGTGGTGGCTCACACTTGTAATCCCAGCACTTTGGGAGGCAGAGGCGAGAGGATTGCCTGAGTCCACGGGTTTGAGACCAGTCTGGGCAACTTGGGGAGACCTCGTCTCTACAGTAAGTCAAGAAAAAGTAGCTGGGTGTGGTGGCGCACACCTGTAGTTCCAGCTACTTGGAAGGCTAAGGCGGAAGGATCACCTAAGCCCAGCAGGTCAAGGCTGTGGTGGCCGTGAGCGTGCCACTGCACTCCAAGTCTGGGCAACAGAGTGAGACTCCAATTCTAAAATAATAATAATAATAATAATTTATTTGTCTGCCAAACTTGGGAACTTTTTTTTCTTCTCTGATTGGTAAAATCCTAAAGTCCGTGAATCAGTTAGATAAAGTACATAGACTGTTCTCATAATGCCATTACAGGGGGCAGATCTTTCTGAATCCTTCTAATAAGGCAAATCCCAGTAAATATGAGTAATCATGCAAAGCCTCGACAGTGGGGAAAGTTCTGAGGTTGGTTTTCCTCTTGTTAATCAGTTTGGTAAATAAACTGGTGGGTACCTTGTGCAGGCTTCAGTCACTGGGGCAAAAGAAGTCTTCTCTGCCTAGATGTGATCTACCAAAGTAGGGAGAGGAAGGGGTGATAATAGATTTAAGAAAATACCATCCAGAATCTGGTGCATGGCAAGTGTGTGGTGGGAGGGGCTATTTTATTACGTTGTGTTTTGTATTTCCTTCCTGTGTTTTAGGCTTCAGCAATGGGTCATTCAGTTTCACGTCTACAACCACTGAGATTCATCTTACTGAGATGCCAGGAAACTTTTCTGTGACAAATGTGACCGGTTTGAGCGACCAGTTTCACTGGAACTCCCAATCAGACGGGGACTGGAAGAATCCCCTTGGGGGGCTTGCTCCTGGGACAAACTACAGTTTCTGCTTTTCCGATGGCGCCACCGCCTGCTGTCAAGAAGTGTCAACACGTGAGCAGGACTTTTTTCCGGATGGATTGTGGGGTTTGGAGAATGTATTTAAACATGATCACATTGGCAGTGTGTTTGAAATCCCCTGACGGGGGCCTCACCCGTGAAAAGTGACTGCTACATCTTGTCTGTTTCTTCTTCCCCTACTTGGCCCTGTTGCTTGATTGCGGGATGTCCTGGTTTCTCCCGAGCTGCTCTGACACTTTCCTTCCCGCCTGCTCCTAAGCCCTGTGATGACAGAGCGGTGATAGCACATACACAGAGTCAGAGACCTGGGTTTGCTCCCTGGGTCCTCCAGAGTTTAGCTGTGCAACCCTGGGCAAGTCATTGATCCTTTTAGATCTCGTTTTCATCTATTTGTTTGTTTGCTTGTTTGTTTGTTTATTTATTTATTTATATTGTTGATTCTTTTTTAGAGATGAGGCCTCACTCTGTCACCCAGGTTGGAGTACAGTGGCTTGATGGCAACTCACTGCAGCCTTGACCTCCTGGACTCAAGCAATCGTCCCTCCTTAGCCTATGAAGCAGCTGGGACTAGAAATGCATGCCACCATGCCCGGCTAATTTTTTGATGTTTTTTTTTTTGTAGATATGGGGATCTTGCTATGTTGTCTAGGCTGGTCTTGAACTCCTGAGTTCAGACGGTCCTCGCACCTCATCCTCCCAAAGTCCTGGGATTACAGATGTATTCCACTGTGCCCAGTTTAATACCTCCCCATATATTTAAAAACTATTTTAAATTGTGCTTTCTGGCTGAGTATGGTGGCTCACACTTGGAATCCTGGCACTTTGGGAGACAGAGGCGAGAGGATTGCCTGAGCCCAGGAGTTCAAGACTAGCCTGGGCAACTTGGCGAGACCTCATCTCTACAACAAAGCAAAAATTAGCTGGGCTTAGTGGCGCATGCCTGTGTTCCAGCTACTTGAAAGGCTGAGGTGGAATTATCACCTGAGCCCAGCAGGCTGAGGCAGTAGTGGCTGTGAGCATGCCACTACACTCTAGCCTGGGTGACAGAGTGAGACTCCAACTCAAAAAAAAAAAATGTTTTCTGTTCTCTGTTCTGAACTTTTGAAACGAAAGAACTGCTTTTCTAAAACCTTCCCAGAATCCCTTTGTCAATCAACAAAACTTAGCCAACACATTTCACCTTCTTTTAAATAATACCACAGCCTTCTTCATGAAGTGTTGCGACACGAATGAGAACATGCTTGTTTGGCACTTATACAGTGTCTGGGACATGTCAGCCCCAAATAGGGCTGCTGGTATTCCTGCTGTCTCTGCCACTGCGACTGTTGTCACTGTTTTATTGTTATCACATGGTTGTCATTGACTAGATGGCAGCCAAAATTGCTTCTCTAACCACATGCACTTGACACTTTATAAAGAGGAAGCTCATATCTGGAGGGGCTCCCGGCACGATGCTTATTGAACTGTGGGCCATATGTTCTCTCACTGCTTATTCCATTTCCTTTCTCTCACTTCCTCTCCTGACCCCTCTCACTGAGCAGGAGAATGTCTGCCTCTGCCATGGGCCGGGTGGGGCACCCTCTCTATGAACACGCCAGGATGGTGCCACCTGTCCCATCTTCACTCTTCCGATGTCTGTCCCAAACTCTGTGAGAACAGGGCCTCATTCCCTGGGCTTTGCTCTTCTGTTTTGGGTGGTTTCTCCTCAACTGTGAATTTAGCCAAGCTGCATCCATTTGGAAGTTTTATGGCTAATCACCGTGATGGCATCCTGTACATCCGCAGTTTTACAAGTGGTGAGACTGGGGTTCAGAGAGGTGAAATGACTTTGAGTAAAATCACATGACAGCAGAATTGGACTCTGAACCCAGATGTCTAAAATGTCCAAGTCCTGTGGCCTTGATTATTATGGCGTGGTAACTCCGTCATAGTCCTTTGTGTTTTGTGTGGTGTCAGAGCAGTCAACAGAGGAACCTGAGACTGACAGGTCTGAGGGGGCTAATGCCAGGCTCTACAACTGGTGGGAAGAGGCAGGTTTTCAGGTCCAGATCTGAACCCCAAGACCAGTCCTTTTCTCTTTATGTCAGAAGCTGCTGAGCTTCCGCCTGCTTTATGTCAGAAGCTGCTGAGCTTCTGTCTGATGTCAGAGATTGGCAAAACCATCATTACTGCTTCCACATCCTACAGTATATTTACCTGCAGTGTTTTCTGAGAATGGGGAGATGAGCTTATATTCCCTCTCCCAACTTTTAAAAAAATATCAGCTTCTATACAGATTTTACCCCATGTTCCCATCACAACCAAATGGCCAATTTCTGATGGGTTTGTCTGTACTGTGTGTGTGTGTATATATATATGAAAATAAATGATGTTACAGGGATGTCAGGAGGCAAATAAAGAGAAATGAGACTGTGTGAATGTAAAATGCTCTCTGGAAAGTAGACATACGGAGCACATTCTGCATTTACGTTTCTCTTTAAAATATAATTGTTCTTTTTTCTTGAAAACAACTCAGGACCCAGCCATGTGGTTGACATTAAAGCTGTTTTCAAGAGTCCAACCAGTGTGACCTTAACTTGGAATAACAGCGACGCAACTGCCTCTAAGTATAAGTACAGAATCAAGTACCAGGTGGAAAGTGAGCAGACGATCACTGTTGACGGCCAGACCACGTACAACATCACTGGCTTAAGTCCTGCGACTCCATACACCGTCTCCATCACTCCAGGAATAGGCAGTGGCTCTTGGGGAGATCCTGTGGCCATAAATGTCACAACAGGTGAGATGGCTGGTGCCCAGGGATGGTCGCGAACCATTCGTTACTGTCCTGTGTCCTAGAGCCTTGTTCATTCTAGTTGCTGGTTGGGAAGAGATTGGTTTTTATAAACCAGAAGAGGAGAAGAGGCACCGTGTTGTTTCAAGTCCAGGAGTTCGGGTGACCAGATCCTTCAGTGTTAAGGTCATATGTGTTTTGGGAAGTTCTACTTCTCACTGTTTGATCTAAAAAATCTTTTGTGATTATTGGTTAATCCCTGCTTTCCTGCTAAGACTCGGGAGTAGAGGCTTCATTAGAAATGTGTTCTGGTGGTCATTACCAGCTTTCAAGTTCCCCAGGAAGTTGGTGCTGTGTTTCTATTCCCAGGACTTTCTGTGGGGCAGGAAGATTTGGTCCATGTTCCAGAGGAGTGTGTGTTTCATGTGGAATAAGAGTCTGATGACATTCAGTTTTAATTAAGATTTGACAGCTTAAATTTTGGTTTAGCTTAGATGTCACTACCCTGAGCCACCTATTCTGGCTACAAACTTAGCTCTTGGTTCTAAGCTAGAAAAGAACCAAAAATTAAAAAGCAAAACGACAAGTGAGAAGCTCTTTTTAGGAGGAGGAGAACTAAGCACTGGGAAAAGAGGTCCCCTGCTGTTTTCTGACATGGGATGGGGTGATTCCCAGGCCCTGGGCCTGAGTCCTAGAGCCTGACTGGAGAGGAGCTAGGTCTCTAGCACAGCAAACCATCTGGGCATGGAGCCACAAACACCATACTTGTGGCTTTCAACATCTTTTTATCCCAGAAACCGTTTCTTTAAACAACATCTCGTCCAGAAGCCCAAAAGACAAAAACAAAAAGAACAGAGCATGAGAGGAGCCTCAAGGATGGGTGCCACAGGCCCCTTCACAGATACCTCTGGAGCATCTCAGGGCACGATTTTAGAGGAAATCCCACCATCAAGGCTTGCTGTGTCACACTGTGAAAGAGAGAGGGGAAGGAGGAGAGAGCGGAAAGGTGATAGGAGAGAGTTTGAGGAAAAAGAACGCAGAATTTGGAAATGGTGATGGGACGAGGTGATACGGAGTAGGTGATGCAGGGAAGCAGAGGTGTGAGGTGGCAGGAAGCAGCCAGTAAAGGGATGGGGTGTCCTTGTCCACCTTAGAGCCCCGAGCACAGGGCTGTGTCAGAGCGGGTTCACCAGCTGCTGTGCACTGAGCATGTACTCTGTGCTTTGCTGTCCTTGGTATGTTATTTTGTCCTCGCGGTCACCATGAGGACAATGTTGAAGAAACTGTGAAGAAGTTAGGTTTCTTTTGAGATCTCAGAAATATTGAGCATCAAGTGGTGGGACAGAAACCCGGGGGCCTAACTCCAGACCCCCATGGTGCAGTGATGCACAACTACAAAAAGACATGAGTGATTCCACTTAGAAATCTTTGCATGAAATGTTTGACGTGAGGAATTGACTCACAGAGTGGATCACATTGTTCACAGCTGTATGGCACCTTAGAACTATCTAGGCCAGTGTCTTGCGTTCAGCCACCTGCAGACCCCAGGCCGGCTTTCACTCTGTTTGCACCATGACCTGTGCTTTTTTTTTTTTTTTAAGATTGGAAAATGTAGTTTCTTTAGAAAGTAAATTAGAGAAAGGAAAGGAGAGGGATGAGATAGGAGGAGGCCGTAGGAAATTATGACCTGGCCATAGCTCAGAAAACACATGGCCAGACAGTAGTTTAGCAAGGCTATGGATGACCTATGCTTTTATGGGCTTGAAGCTGGAGCCGGGTTCCAGTTTCCCACTGTCACCAGTAGTATGTGTGTTCTTAGCAAGCTGCTCTGCCTCTCTGGGTCTCCATGTTCTCATCTCAAAAGGGAAGGAGAGCATGCCCTTGTGGCTCAGTGGTTTGATTAATGTCACCATCAACCAAAGAAGGTGATGGAAGGAGGGACTGGGTGCACTATAGGTGGAAAGTCTTCTGGAAAATCCACCTGGAGCTGGAATACAGGGGCGTGCTCCTTAGTTGAAGTCTTAGGTGCTATGACGTGATATTATTCCCGTTGTCTTGAATGGAGACCTTTCTGCTTAGCAGTCATTTATTGGATGCTTTGTTCCTGATGTCTAAAACAAATACAACCAAATGCTGCTGTTCCAAAGGGCCAATTTAGAAGAGTTTCAAGTCATTGTTGGGGTTAACCTGGAGACAGTGCAGATCTCAGCCATTTTGGTTTTGAGGTTTACCCCTTTTCTTCTTTTCTTCATCATGATTTCCTCCCCTGCCCTGCTGACAGATGACATAAGTGCAACAGACTCTGGTACAGAGGATGTATTTCTAGCGAGTCGCACTGACCCATCGGACACCCCAGTCATTCCAGCGACTGCAAATATCTTGTGCCGCTAATGGGTATTGTTTATTGTGTGTTTCTAAAATAGAGCCTCGCCCGGTTTCTGGTCTCCATGTATCCTTCGTGAGTGTGAGGGAGGCCGCTCTTTCCTGGAGTGGTGACAATGGCACTGCCTCCTGCCGGATGCTCCTGGAAAGTATTGGGAGCCATGAAGAGTCGACTCGAGACTTAGTGGCCAACATTCCAGGCCTGAAGCCGGGGATTCAACACATCAACCCATATCTCCCAGAATTCGATGGGACGCAGAGACATCCCTTGATGACAGAAAGTGGCTTGGGTGAGTGGCAGACGTGTGTCCCCCATCTCTTTCACTGGTTTTGACTTTCAGTAACTTCTTAGTTTTTTTTAAAAAGTCATTCTATTTGTGTAGGGCTTTAGGATATATAGAGGGCGTTTCCTCCACATTTGAGCTTGATCCCCTACCTGTGTGAGGATGGAAGGAAAAGTGGTTCTTATTTCCCAGGGAAACACATCGGGGCTTGGGATGGCAGTGGGCCTGGAAACTTTCTGGAGTCTGACATCTAGGAGAGTGGGCGGCCCCTTCAGCTTTAGATCTTCCAGTTGAGCAAATAACAAGTGTGTTAACCTGAGTTGGGCCTTTGGAGGAACTGAGCATGTTCACTGAGAAAAGGGTGCTTAGCCGGCAAACCCAGCAGACGTCTCCTGTGTTGATGCTGGCGTCATCATTTGCAGATGACATAGCATTTTCGGGGGATTTCTGGGACAACTGTGGAATGAGAAGGGCAGGGATTTTCATCCTTAATTTTTTTTTTCTTTTTAGAGCAGAGATCTTTCTCTGTCACCCAGGCTGGAGTGCAGTGGTACGACCATGGCTACCACAGCTTCATCCTGTTGGGCCCAGGTGATCCTTCCGCCTAAGCCTCCCAAGTAGCTGGGACTACAGGCACGCATCACCACGCCTGGCTCATTTTTTTGATTCACTGTAGAAATGAGGTCTTGCTATGTTGTCCAGGCTGGTCTCAAACTCCTGGGATCAAGCAATCCTCCTGCCTCGGCGTCCCAAAGTGCTGGGATTATAGGAGTGAGTCATCACACTTGGTCACTTTTGAATTTTTTTTATGACAAGGGTTTTCATTTTTCAAAAGTGAATAAAGAGTGATCATTCCTAATCCTGCTCACATAAAGGGGTGAGCCACCACTCCTAGCCTTCATTCCTGTTTTACACTAAGGAAACAGAACTGTAAAGCTAGTGTCAGCATCCTTGCTTGCAAGGGACAGAAACCAGACTTTAAACAGCTTAGGCGGAAAGAGCAATTTATTGGCTTGTGTCTATTTCCCTGCTACAGGCCTTGGGGAAAGAGAGAAGGTGGTTTTTAACCTCTCTCTCCTTTTGGTTCGCCGCTCCCTCTGCACAGCCTTAGGACAGATGGCCGCAGGCAGTCCCTAGCTTCACACCCTGCAGCTGCCCACTAGTGGGGTCTGGTCCAGGGAAATGCCTCGAGTAGGCTCTGAGGAGTAAAGTCTGGGTCACAGAGCTATCCCTGGGATGGGAGAAGATAATGTCCCAGAGAAGGGAGAATGATCCACAGTAGCAGAGTTTGAAAGAAAAGCACCAGATATCTGTGGCACTGCTGGAATCACATCACGGAGTTGAATGCCAGGGCCTTGTCAGGGGACAGAGTCTCCCTCTGGAGGAGGTAGGGAGCAGATACTTACAGAGAACCTGCTGCGGACACTGTATGATGTGTTATCTTATGGGTGGGGTCGTTGAAAGAAGACAGGGTTATGTTCCTCTTGCAGTTAATGTCTTTCCTCTTGTGCTTGCAACAGATGCCAACAACACAGAGAGAAGCTGGACAGAGAGCTGGGCCCGGCCCGGCAGCAGCCCCACTGCCCCTGTGCATGATGGGAACCTCCGGGGACACACAGACCCATCCTCTGACAAGCGGTCCCAAGACACAGAAGTCTGGCTTGTTAGGTTGGCGCCTGGCACTCAGTTCAAGGCTACCGTGTATTCTCAAGCTGCGGATGGCACAGAAGGACAGCCCCAGGCTGTAGATTTCAAGACAAGTATGTTGAATTTTGTAAAATGGCTTCAGCTAGAGTTTCCTGGCACAGTTTTGTCTTCTGTGATTCTGGTTCTGAGTTTTTCTTGCTTAGCATCCAGTTTTGTTGTCAGAGGGAGCTTTCTGGAAGACATTTTGGACAGAGTAGGTCTGGTGAGTTCTTCTTAACTCTGTGGGCAAGGCACATCTTTCACTAAGTGCCATAAAGTGCACTGAGTAGCCACCATCTGTAGGCACCGGGCCCTGCTTTGTGTCTGTCTTTCACATCTTGGCATGGTGTCCAGTGACACACACTGATGCAATCATTTTATTTTATGAATAATCAATCATTGCTTTCTTTTTCTTTTTCTTTTTTTTGAGTTGGAGTCTCACTCTGTCGCCCAGTCTGGAGTGTAGTGGCACGCTCCCGGCCACCTCAGTCTTGACCTGCTGGGCTCCAGCGATCCTTCCACCTCAGCCTTCCGATTAGCTGAAACTACATGGTAGCCTATGCTACCATGCCCAGCTAGTTTTTGATTTATTGTAGAGATGAGGTCTTGCCAAGTTGCCCGGGTGGGTCTCAAACCCGTGGGCTCAGGCAATCCACTTGCCTTGGCCTCCCAAAGTGCTGGGATTACAGGCTGAGACCCTGAGCCCGGCCAATCATTGTTTTCTTATACCCCCATTCCCCCTCCCCTACCCCAAGTTAAGAAAATGCATTTCCTTTTTTGGCCTGCCTTGGACTTTATATGGAGCTTTCTTTGAAAAGCTTGTTGACAAGCACATTGCTGCTTCCTTGCTGCAATTGATCAATGCTTCCACTCTGTAAGTTGGCCAGTATTTGGAGGCTTTAGTGATAAGTAGGGGAGGGGGACATGTTTTAGGAGACCCAGAGTCAATCACTAGCTGGGCTGTGTTACGCATATAGAGCCAGAAAATATGAACAAGGAGTCAGTGACAAGCCGTGTCTGTCAGGAATTAACAGCTTCTCCTGGTGTCACGTCGAGGGAGGGTTCGCTTGTGTCCTTTCTTTCTCCCCTCATACTGGTTTTTCTAAAGTGTGGGTGAGGCGGGGAAGATGAGGCTGTAGGAGAGACCCCTGACCTCTTGGGGCCCTCAGTGACCAGCAGGGGCAACAGGTGGGGGCATTCAAGTGAGGAGGGCTTGGTTTCCAGTGGGTGGGTCAGTTGGAGGAGAAGACAGGAACCTTCCACGGGTGCCGTTGGCCGCGGTGGGGTATCCTGCACATGAGAAGCTTGTATGAGGGGGAAAGGGGCTGACATCTAGCCTGTATGCCCTCAGCAAGCCATGTACCCCAGGGATGGGTCCATTCAGGGGAAGGGCCCTTTGCCTGACTTGCTAAAGGGGGTTGTGTGGATTAGTGTGGGCCTTGGGTTCCCTGATTTTTAAAGCAGTTTGAGCAAAAGCAGCGATTGTATCTTAGGCCCTAGGTCGTGTAAATACACACATATCCTATTTCGTGTTGAGCTTAGTGCTTGGTGGATGATAATTAGAGTAGTTTTTCTCTCTGTATATGGGGGAGAGTATATGCATACACAGGTCTTAATGAGTTTGGGTTGCTATGACAAATTACCCTAGACTGGGTATTGTAAACAATGAACATTTTTTTCTCACAGTTCTGGAGGCTGGAAGTCTGAGATTGGGGTGTCAGCATGGTGGGGTTCTGGGTGGGGGCCCTCTTCTGGGTTGCAGACTGCCTGTATCCTCGTGAGCTTGAAGGGGTGAGGGAGGGATCTCTGTCAGCCCTCTTTCACTAATCCCATCCGTGAGGGCTCCTGTGAGGGAGGTAATTCGTGACCTAATTGCCTCCCAAAGGGTCCTCCTCCACTGTCACACCGGTGGTGAGGATTTGAACATTAGAGTTTGTGGGGGGACGGAGACATTCGGTCCGTTGCCTTAGACGCGGATGCCCACGCATACACACGTACATAGAGAAAGGGCCCCGTATTTTTCAAGTGACTACTTAGATGGTGCAGGGTTCAGGGAACCATCGGAGCATTAAGGGACAATGAGAAACTCAAGACTAGCCATGGCAGAAAGCCACTTCTAGGGTTGAAGCCACCTCTGGAGGACAGGGTGTTTCTGGAGCCCAGTGAGAGCCCAGGCAGTGAGGGATTTAGCTGTATCAGGAGTAGGAACTGATGAGAAAGGCTCTGACCATATTCCCCTTCGGGCCTCTAGCAAGCAGCCCTGCCCAGATTGCTGGTTGGTACAACCTAGTCACGGCCCATGCGGCAAGGCCCTTGGTGATGGCATGTGCAGGGTCAGTCTTCTGGGCACAGGGCAGGCAGGGGAAGGACAGAGGATGAGTTAGGAGGGGGATTGGACACATGGTGAGTAACCGGCCCCCTCATTTGATCTGTTCCTGAGATTAGGACCGCTGTCCTGCTTTACGGAGGAGGAAACTGGGCTCAGGTGGTTTCCCTCAGGTCTACCTGCTAGAAAGAAGAGCTGACCTGGAACCCAGACCTTCCTCGTGGCAAATGGGTCATCTTAATTGGTCCTGTGGAGTGGAATGTTCATTTTTGGATGGACATACGCTTGAGGATTGGCACCTGGGGCAAGGCATGTGTAGGGTTCTTGCTACTGTTCGATTATGAGTCTATCCTATCTCCAAAAGTCAACTCAAAAAAGGGCAAAGAGTGACTGTGCATTTGCAGTTGGCCAGGTCATTTCTTCACTGACCACCGGTGCCTAACTTTGGCTGAGATGCTCCTCCTTTCCCAGTCATGGTTGGCTGGTGCAGAGGAGGAAGGAATAATACTTAGGAGTGTTTCCTAGACTCAGTGGCCATGCCCTGACGGCGACTGCACGCGCTGTCTCGCTCTCTCGCTCTCTTTCTGGCTTGGCCATTCTGGTTATTTTGAACTCCTCTTGTGTCCTCACAGATTGCAGTCAGGTTTTTGACATCACAGTTGTGAACATCAGTGCCACCAGTGTGACCCTGACCTGGAAAATCAGTGATAATGAGTCGTCCTCTGTCTATACCTATAAGATACATGTGTCTGGGGAGACTGAAGCCTTCAACCTCACTGTCAGTGAAACCCATGCCGTCATCCCTGGACTCCACTCAAGCACCTTCTACAGCATCACAGTGCATCCTTTCCTAGCTGGTGCCGAGTGCATGCCGGGCTTTCTCCAAGTATACACCCGTGAGTTCACACTTGGCTCTTGCTAACCTTTCTTGCTGGCCAGGCCCAGATTCAGGACAGAGAAGTTTTGGTCCTGCCCTCGAGGAATGTCCAGCTCAGCATGTGGGTCCCCCTTCGGGGTGTGTCATGATAACGGTGACCGCTGGTTGATGTGGATCACACACTGAGCTTCGTGTGACGTGCTCTCCTGGCACTGGTTCATGAAAGGCTCACAACACCCCAGGGATGTGGCTGGCATTTGCCTTATTTTATGGAGGAGGAGCCAAGGATGAGATAGGTGATGTAGGTGGTGTCACACCTGGTAAGTGACAGAGGTGAGATCAAATCTCCAGGCTGTCTCGACTCTATCCTGTGCTTGTTGTGACTCTTCTGATGTGGTAGGGACCTAGAGCGGTCTGATACAGGGAGTCAAAGAGGACCTGGGTCTTCATGTCCCTGTCTCCCTCGGCTGCTGCATTCTGATGAAGCCCTGGCACAGCTCTGCCTCATCTTTGTTTGCTTAGACAAAGATGATGACGGCTGGCAGAAAATAAGAAGCTTTCTGTTCTCAAGAAGGCTGATAATATAAAATAAAACAGTAATGGTGCACTAGTGGTATAGTGGTATAATATATATAGCTCATCCATCGTATTGACACCAGCAGTGAATTTTGCACTGTGCCAAGAGGTTTACACATATTGCAGTGGCCTTAATGGTGGGTGTGAGGACCCCTTTTACAGATGAGAAAACTATAGCCCAGCATGGCTGAACACCTGCCCCAAGGCCACAGAGCGAGTGAGTGACAGGGGTGCCCGGCTCTGGATCTAGGCTTGTCCCACTAGACAGTCTACACTTTTTCAGGAAGCATGCCTCAGCATTTTTTCTGTTTTTTGAGTTGGAGTCTCACTCTGTCGCCCGGACTGGAGTGCAGTAGCTGCTCCCGGCCACCGCAGCCTCGACCTCCTGGGCTCCGGCGATCCTTCCGCCTCAGCCTTCTGAGTAGCTGGAACTACAGGCGCGCGCTACCACGCCCGGCTAATTTTTTGATTTATTGTAGAGATGAGGTCTCGCCTGCCCAGGCGGGTCACGAACCCACGGGCTCAGGCAATCTACTTACCTCAGCCTCCCAAAGGCGCGGGATTACAGGCTGAGCCACCGAGCCCGCCTGCCTCAGGATTCTTACAGATGTCTTTTGGGCTGGCTCTTTGGGGAAAATGAAATCTGCTTACATTTCTTCACCTTTTTTTCTTTTACTGTTTAGTCTGTGTTTAGGATTAGGTTCATCTGTGAGCAACAACAGCAAAAACACCCCAAACATCAGTGGCTTAAAGAAGACAAGGGTTTATTTCTTTTTTTTTTTTTGAGTTGGAGTCTCACTCCATCGCCCAGACTGGAGCACAGTGGCTGATCCCAGCCACCGCAGCCTCAACCTGCTGGACTCCGGCGATCCTTCCGCCTCAGCCTTCCAGGTAGCTGGAACTACAGGCGCACGCTACCACGCCTGGCTGATTTTTTGATTTATTGTAGAGATGAGGTCTTGCTGCCTAGGCGGGTCTCGAACCCGCGGGCTCAGGCATTCCACTCACCTCAGCCTCCCAAGGCGTGGGATTACAGGCTGAGCCACTGAGCCCGGATGACAAGGGTTTATTTCTTTGTCCTGTAACAGAAGCCCAGGGTTAGGGTGCATGGAGATGGTAGAGTGTTAGCCAGGGCTCAGCTAAACTAGCTCAGCAACCACAAGCTAGTTTAACCATAAGGGATTTACCCTGGGTATTGAGGGCTCACAGAAGCCTAGGCAGGGCTTCTGTATTAGTTTGTTAGGGCTCCTATGGTGTGTACCACAGACTGGGTGGCTTATACAACAGAAATTTATTTTCTCACCATTCCGGAGGCTGGAAGGCAGAGATCAAGGTAACAGCAGGTTCACTTTCCTCTGAGGGCTCTCCTCTTGGCTCATGGGTGACTGCCTTCTCCCTGTGTCTTCATGTGGTCATCCTCCAGTCTGAGTGTTCGTGTCCTCATATCCTCTTTTTAAAAGGACCCTAGTCATACTGGCTTAGGGACTACCATCATGACCTCATTTTAACCTAACTACCCCTTTAAAGACCCTGTCTTCAAATACAGTCATATTTTGAGGTACTGGGGGCCAGGACTTCAACATATAAATCTGGAGGGCGGAGGACACAATTCAGCCCATAACAGCTGGGGAGCAGGCTTTGGACTTGGCCCCCCAGAAGTGATTCCCTGACTTAAGCTGCAGAACTGTCTCTCCAACTCCCCCACCTACTCCCCTGCCCCCAGGAGAGTTTACCATCTTTGTCACAGACAGCAGAGTGAGGACTTGGGAAAGCTCTGCTGTGGTTGCTGGATCCAGGAATGTCTGTTCTGAGCTGTGATCCTGGGATCAGGGAGCTGCAGCCACTACTACAATTTTGGTTCTAGAGCCGGGCAGCCTGAGCTCCAGGTGGCACACCCACGTTCCAACCACAAGAAGAGTAAGGGCAAAGGTCATGCTCTGCCCTTTGAGGATACTTCTGCTCTCATTCTGTTGGCCAGAACTTAGTCACATGGCTATATCTAGCTGCAAGGGAGGCTGGGAAATGTAGTCTTTAATTCCCAGCAGCCATGTACACAGCTAAAAATCTGGAATTGTGTGATAAAGGAAGAAAAGGGGAGTGGATTTTGGGGATTCAGCAGCAGCCTTGGCTTCATCTCTCTAAGGAGAGTCTCTGGGAGGCTTAGTGGTGAATGCATTTGAGATAAAGCAGCCTGAGCTCTTGGCCCTGGGCTCATGCCTCCTCTTGTTTCCTGTGAATGATTCTCTACAACTCAAGTACACAGTTTCTGCACTCTTGTGGCCAGGTGCTCTTGCCATGGGCAGAAACACCAGCTTCTGCAAGGCTCATGTTGTAGCTGATGGTACCAAGAAGAGAAAAAGATCAGCTGTCCTAAGTGTGTGTTTAATCTTGGTATAAGTATTTTGTGACAGTTGGTTATCCTTATCTTTTGGAAAATAAGTTCTAAATTGAGTTGTTTCCTTTCTTCCCACAGCCCCAGGTCCAGTTTCCGACTTTCGAGTGACAATGGTCAGCACAAGGGAAATTGGCTTAGCTTGGAGGAGTAATGACTCAGAATCCTTTAATATGCATATTACACAGCATAGAGAGAAATCTTGGGTAGTAACAACCACCAACCAAAGTATTGTTGTTGGTGACTTGGACCCTGGAACCAACTATAGTTTTGAAATTTTTCCACAAGGACCAAATGGAACTGAAGGCCCATCTCGAATAGTTTACAGTAGAACTGGTAAGCAGATAGGCTTTTCTGTCAGTCATGTTTCTGAAAGAAAATCAATAGAGTTTATAAATGTCATGTTTTCCAAACATCATTTTTCTTGAATTATCTAAGAAAAATCTTAAACATTTTTTGTAACAATAATGCATACATATTATATGAAATACAGGTAAGCAAACAGGAAAAAAATTACAAGGAAATCATCATCAGATAATCACTGATAACTTTTGGTGTATGATGTTTTACAATATTCACACACACGCACACACACACTATTCTTTTACAAACATCGAGGTCATCTGTACATGTGGTTTTGTAGTCTACTTTTTTCCCACTCACCAGCTTATTATGAATATTCCTTTTTTTTTTTGAGTGGAGTCTCACTCTGTTGCCCAGACTGGAGTGCAGTGGCACTCTCCTGGCCACCTCAGCCTCGACTTGCTGGGCTCCGGCGATCCTTCCGCCTCAGCCTTCCAAGTAGCTGGAACCACAGGTGTGCACTACCACGCCCGGCTAATTTTTTTGATTTTATTCTCACCAAGTTGCCCAGGCGGGTCTCGAACCCGTGGGCTCAGGTAATCCACTCACCTCAGCCTCCCAAAGCACTGGGATCACAGGCTGAGCCCCCGAGCACAGCTTTTTTTTTCTTTTTTAATACACAGAGTTTTACGGTGAAAGTGTTTCCTTTTTTTGTCCTCCAGCCACCCAATTCCTTTCCCTAGAGGTGACCTTGGTTGCCAGGTAAAGAGAGGTGGGTTTTGAAAGCAGCATCCAAGAAAAGGCCCTGCTTTTGCTGTTACCTCTGAGCCTACACGTGAGCACTGCAAGTGGCTGAGTGTGTGGAGGGTGGGTAGTCAGAGGACAGGCTCCTGTGGGCTGAGAGCGTCGGGGGTACAGGGCCATTTTAAGACAAAGCCCAAAAGTCCAGGGTGTGATGAACTAAGTCCACCTGTATTATGGAAGGGCCAGAGTTCTTGGAAGAACTGAGTGTGTGCATTTCCCACCTGGATTTTGGAGTGTGCCCTTTGTGGACTCAATTGAGCGTTTGAGGGCAGAAGAGAAAGTTCTCTCGACAGGCACATTGACATGAGGCTGGATGTCATGGTGGTCACTAACAGGCTTCCTTTTCCTTCCTTCCTCTGACCAGCCCCTAGTGCAGTGTATGACATCCAAGTGGTCAATGTCACCACCACTGAGATGCAGCTGGAGTGGCGGAGCATAGACAATGCTTCCGAGTATACCTACCACTTAGTCGTGCAGTCCGTGCATGGCTCTAACCATACCAGCACGCCTCACAAAGAGCTCACCCTCTGGGGCCTGGTGCCAGGAACCTTGTATAACATCACTGTCTCTCCTGAGGTGGACCATGTCCGGGGTGATGCCAACTCTATCGCACAGTTCACACGTAAGTCTCTCGGGCACCCTTCTTTTTTTTTTTGAGTTGAACTCTCACTGTAGCCCAGGCTGGAGTGCAGTGGCACACTCACGGCCACTGCAGCCTTGACCTGCTGTGCTCAGGCGATCCTTCAACCTTCCAAGTAGTGGAACTATAGGCATGTGCCACTACGCTTAGCTGATTTTTTAAATTTATTGCAGAGATGAGGTCTCGCCGTGTTGTCCAGGCTGGTCTCGAACCCCTGGACTCAGGCAGTCCTCTCGCCTGTGCCTCCTAAAGTGCTGGGATTCATGCCTGGCCTTGGGTGCCCTTCGAAGGGATAGTCTCCCTGGCCCTCACTTGGAGGAGGCACTGGTTAAATGATGGGGGAGGGACCAGTGTGTTTCTGGGCTCCAGGGTGACCCTGAAACCACTGAAGTTGAGAACATCGATCTCTGCAAATGTTCTGCTATTCCCATGGGCTCTGGCGTTGAAGCCACGTGAGCTTAGAATTGTCTTTAGAAGCAGAAATGACTCCATAGGAAGGGAGAACATAATTGTTCCCATCATCCCTTGGGAATCCAGTCTGGAGGAGGGTCACCTCTTCATGTTGGCCTTAGAAGACACGCCCAGTGAAGCACTTTGCCTGCAACAGGGAGAGGGGAGTTTTGCTGATACTCAAATTAAATACGTGTTAGAGATGTTGGCTTCAGTGTTTTTGGTATAATTTTCTCTTTCATGCATTAGATTTTTTTTTTTTAATTGTAGAGACACGGGGTCTCACCAGGGTGCCCAGGCTGGTCTCGAACCTGCAGGCTCAGGCAATCCACTTGCCTCGGCCTCCCAAAGTGCTGGGATTACAGGTTGAGTCACTGAGCCTGACCTTTCATGCATTAGATTTAAAAACAAATTGGGAATCATAGTTTAAAAATATATGTCAACTTGAAGTGTTAGAAGATGCCTAAAAATTCGACTTCTTTGAAGATTTAATCTGTCTAATCATTTTCTGAATGTGTTTTTGGGACTTCTTCCATCTCTTGAGCCAGCAGATATTAGCTTTGTTCAATCTTTCCGAAGGGGTCAGGCTATTTTGGAATGTAGTAAATAAAATAGTCTTGAAATTCTAACAAATCTGTGCTTTTACTTAAATTTGTTTTTTGAATCAAGGGCCCAGCCGTGTGTCCATCACTGGAGTAAGAACCAACACCACGGTAGCAGAATTGAGTTGGCAGAACTTTGATGAAGCCTCTCCCACCTATTTCTACCTCCTTCTCATTGAGAAGGTTGGAGATGTCAGCAACGCCACACAGGTAGTCACGGGCGTTGGAGTCACTTGCACTGCAGTCACTGAATTAACGCCTGGCTCAGCGTACAACGTGGAGATCTTTGCACAAGTGGGGAATGCCACTGAGTCACTGGAACCTGGCCAGAAGTCATTCTGCACAGGTGAGTCACCCAGGTCCCTCCAGGACTGTGTGGTGCTGACTCTGTAGGTAAATTCTCCACGGTCTGTGATGTGTTAGTCTCCAAGGGGTGTGCAGTGACAAACACTGAGCTCCCAGACACATCCTGCTGGCTTAGTGCTGTCTTGATGCCCTTATCATGTATTTGCTCAACAAATGTCCATTGAGCACTTACTATATGCCAGACAGCCAAGTCCTGCCTTCCTGGAACTTTTATTCTGGTGTGGAAGATAGTAATAAACAAGATAAAGAAGTAAATTGTTAGGTGATGATTACTGCTAAGGAGAGGGGAAAAAAATGGGGTAGGGTGGCTGGGTGTGGGGGCTCACCTGCTTTGGGAGGCTGAGGCAAGAGGATTGCTTGAGGCCAGGACTTCAAGACCAACCTAAGCAATGTAGGAGACCCCATCTCTACAACAGAAACATAACAGGGAAGGGGAAATTAGATGTTCTTCTAGAGTGCTCAGGAAATGCTTCAATGAAAAGGTGACTTTTAGGCTGGGTGCGGTGGTTCACACCTGCCATCCCAGCACTTGGGGAGGCAGAGGCGAGAGAAATGCCTGAGCCCATGGGTTTGAGACCAGCCCAAGCAACATGGCAAGACCTTGTCTCTACAATAAATAAAAAAAAATTAGTTAGGCGTCGTGGTGCACACCTGCAGTTCCAGCTATTCTGGAAGGCTGTGGTGGAAGGATTGTTGGCTCCCTACTGAAAGGTCAGAGGCCGCAGGCTCCAGCTCTGACATGACCAGTGAGGCTGATTCCATGAGAACCAGCTTCCGAGTCAGGCTGAATGCGTGTGCCCGGCCTGGTGTAAGGAGAGAAGACACGGGGGTGAAGGGTAGAGAACGAGGCAGCGCACTGGAGTCGGGGGATGAAGGCACCCCCGTGAGCACCGACGGTGGAAGTGCCCACAGCCATCTGCAAAGCCTTGCTGAGCTGCTCTGAAAGAGTCCTTGGTCACACACGGGCCCTTCTCTGTATCACTCTTAGAACTATGAGATGCATAAGACTCAAGAAGGCCGCCCAGCCAGGCTTGGTGGCTCAGCCTGTAATTCCGCTCAGCCAGGCTTGGTGGCTCAGCATTTGGGAGGCTGAGGTGAGAGGATGGCCTGAGCCCGCGGGTTCGAGACCTGCCTGGGCAACTTGGCGAGACCTCATCGCTACAATAAATAAAAAAAAATTAGCCGGGTGTG